TTTTTTTTTTTTTTTTTTTTTTTCAGATGGCGTCGTCAGACCAAGATTCGTTGTTTTAGTCGCTCAGGTGTGAGAGGTGAGGTTGTGTATTATGCTCCATGTGGGAAGAAACTAAAGAACTACCCCGAAGTGGTGCGAGTATGTTGTATATTTATTTTTCTTGGAAATCAAATGTTTTAGATGACTTAAAGGATTGTTAATTGTTCCCACCAAGCATACCACCTTTGTTTATGTTAATGTGTTACTTGTTGTTGAAGTGAGATATATGATTCTTCAGATGTTATAAGTAGCTTGTAGATTGTTCGGTATAAGATATAGCCAATGAAACTTCAAACATTTCAGTGCAAATTGACCCACAACACTGCAGTTCCACTTCATTTTAATCCATCTGTAAATACCTCTATCTTTTTTTAGACTTTTCCTTTATGGGTTTAGCAACATTTATCAACTGAAGAGAAATGTCAAAGCATGGTTATATAATACAATAATTATTTAAGTTTACAGTTTTGAACTTTTTAATCTTTGTTGATGTATTGATAAAACCTGTTTGTTTTTATAATGGAAGATGCAATTTTAGGTATGTATTCTCTGTATTTTACTTCTTGCTGATAATGTTAGTTCCTGAAATATTACTCATTGTGAAAGATAAGTTTTAAAAATTATTCTGCACCAATCGTAAGCTAAACACACAACTTTCAACATCTTATTGGTTTGAATTTTTAGTACTTACATCGGCATGATATCACAGACATTACACGGGAGAATTTCACCTTCAGTACAAAAATCAACGTGGGAGAGTTCATAGAAAAGGCACAGGATGGTGTAAGAGAGGCTATAATCTTTTTTACCTTTTTTTTATTCCTGTATTCCATGATTCAGTAAATTTATTCATTTTTCTTGAAAAGTAGTTCGTTATGATACTTATTATATATGGATTAATACCATGATAAAAAGTGTGGTCTGAAACTACTTTGCAAGTATGAGAATTTTAGATTTATTGACTGTTTTTTCCTGTTAAGTCTTTCATTTATGAAGGATTCTAACCTAAAATACAATATAAGGTATAATACTAATTTATTTTTTCAAGGTTTGCAAGTCCAAAGACAAAAATGATATTAATCATTAATACAATTAGATATGCAATTCTAACCCTTGTTCACATGGAAATAGCTGCTACTTTTATGGTTAATAAATACTTTAAACTGGATAGCGATTGAGTGTATACTCAATTAATTGAAATTTTGTTTTTATTTCATTTGTTGCATTTATTCTGTTAAGGTAAGTTATGTATAAGATTGTTTAAATAAACAGTCATTAAAAGTAAAGTTACCTCGTGTTTAATGTAGAACTACAGCTTAGTTAATGAGAATGAAGTGGTAGCCAGAATAGAAGAAGTACGAGCTCGAAAAGGTTGCTTGGGAATCCAAGTTCGACGAACTCCTCAGCAAAAAGCTAAGGAAGAAGAAGATAAACAACAACAGTGGGAACAAATTCAGCTTCATCACAGGTTGAAGCAGCAAGGTTGGTGTAATCAAAATATTTTTATCATTTAAACAACTCAATATTTTTAAAGATCACTTAAAAATATCATACCTTTTAAAAATATCTTCAATCTTTTTATGTACAATTGTTTTAAAAAGACCTCCTCTCATTAATCTCTAAGCAAAGTCCACTGGTAGACTGGGTAGTTTCAAATCACCAGCAGGAGATTTTTTTAAAGTAAAAAGGAATTTCTAAAGTAATAATCTCAAGAAAATAAATAAACAAGCCGATGAATCAATATACCATATTTTTCGTAATTTAAGAAGCACCAGTGTATAAGACACACCCTTATTTTGGGGGAAAAAAAGCTACAGTCACATTTGAAAGATTTTAAACACAAAAGAGCTCAAAACATCAAAATAAGAAAATACCGTAAATCAAAAAAAAGGTTTACTGTTATTTAGTTGGGTTCAAAACTACAAAATCTTCATTGCTTTCACTGTAATTTATTTTTTTATTATTTAGGGAGCATTATAAATAGTTATGTTTTTAAAAGAAAAAAACTACTATTGTTATAAATAACACAGTCAATT